AGTTTATCGGGGTGGAGGCCAGTGTTGTTCTCGGGGACGCTTTCTCGCGCATGCGCAGCGCATTGGTAGAGAAATCCAGCGACGGCGTATGTAGTACATATTTGTGTACGTACATTACTATGTTTAATGTGTTTAATGCCAGAAATTTTTTAAGTTAATTATAATCGTCTTTTATTAATTTTTTATTATTTATTTGTGATTCATTAATTTTTTAGATTATTTGCCGTGGCAGCAAACACATCGACGGTCCAACACCGTTAATAAAAGATTGTGGCAAATGCCAGCAAAAATTATAAGAGGTAGCGGTTTGTTAATTTGTGCGATAAACGCACTTCCTATCGAATTACATATTCCAGGCTATCAGTTTTGCCACAGTATATACAGTAGCGCAACTCTCCCGATTTTGTGTTGGCCAAAATGGAGTGCGCATGCGCGAAATAAGTAAGTTGGCTAGTAACGCCATCTAAATTTCTCTGTCACTTACTCCTTTTTTTCTACTCTTTTCGTTCTCTCTCACACTATTTAAATACCCAATTAAATGCCTACTGCCTACCTTATTTGGTGGAATAGATGACATTATGTTATTTATTGTACGATCGCGCAATTTTTCAGAGTTTTTGATACAAAGCGATTACGAAACGATTACAGATATTTAATATAATTATATTTGTAATTATGACTTTATATATATATACAGGGTGCGGCATTTATAGTGACGCGGGCATATTTTTCGGAAACGTTAATATCACCATAATTATAAATAAAATACATAATTACTTATATATGTATATATAACTTTTGTCTTTATATTTATTATTATTTTTATTTTTTGCGTTTTTGTCGTAGTATCGTCTGCAGCTAGCAACAAAACCATAGTATATATAGCACCGAACCTATTACCAAAAACTAGCACGCTAGCACGCACAGCAACACGCAGCACATAATATTTCAAGTTGCATAGCCATTATAATTGCTAGCGAAATGTCTCGCGTGCGATCTAGTATGCAAAATCGTACCGTGTGCCGCCGTTATTCTTGTTCCTCTAGCGTATCGCTTTATAGCCGAGATACGGCTTGAAAATGCTTTTTGACCTCTCGTGGCAAAAAACAATAATGCAACTAGGCTAACAAGCGCCCACTTATTGTAAATTTTATATTTGTTTATGCACATTTATGCGTATATATGTATCAATAATATCTAAAAATTATATATATGATTAAAAATTGTATGACGATAAATAATAACAGTAAAATAATAACTCACAGAGTGAACTAATATACAATATGTAAAACACGGGCACTTATTAGACTTGGCAATTTATTGCTTTTCTACTTGTTGCTTTTTCATCGGTACTTTATGTATTGTCAGCATGATAGAACGACAAGGAGAGAACGATTGTTAATTCTTGGCTTACATTATCTTTCAGTAATTGCAAATTTATAGACCGACAAGTATGCTATCTTGATTTCTTTTCGATTATATCGATATTATCGTGTAAAAATATCTGCTACATAAATACTGATAATATGAAAGCATGTACAAGAAATATGTGATGGCTCAGTGCAAGAGTGTTCAATCCATAGACATAGTATATCTAGACCGAGCGTTTGCCTTTATTTAAGGTGTGAGGGTAAAGGTGCACGTAGAAAAGGACATACTCTGTTTCGTGCCCCTTGCGTTCTCTCTCGCTCGCACGTAGCATGACGAAAGAGAGCGCTATGCTCTGTGCGAGCGAGAGAGAACGCAAGGAGCACGAAACAGAGTATGTCCTTTTCTACGTGGGCATCGGCC